ATTCTCAATTGAGTTTTTAGATTTTTTCTTTATTAAGCAGATAAGCCTCTAAACCCTATGATCTATGCAACTTTGCTCTTTTTTTTAAAAGCAGGTTGCTCTCCCATGTCTTCTTTTTCTCTATAACTTTGCAATATTACACAAATCATAGTTTCAAGAGCTTATTGTTTTTAAAAAAGAGAAATGATTTTGAGATAATCTTGTTTTGGTACAACTTGATATTTTATTTAAATTATTAATTTTTTTAATTTAGATGAGAGTTATATATCTATTCATTTAATTTAATGATATGTGAAAATTATATCAAAATGTGAGATAAAAATATTATTCTTATAGTACCACCGTTTGAAAGAATTTAAAAATTCAATTGAAAATATAAGATAAGTTTAGAGGTTTAACATGGGTTTTACCCGCTTCAAATGATAATTAAAAACTAGTTTACCAGTTTTGAAGTTGAATTGTTTACTCGCTGGGTGATTGGACGAATTCTATTTGGATACCATGCTCCAACTGACATAGAGCATAGTTCTTTCCTTTTAAAAAAATAAAATAAAATAATTAGTAATTCTTTTCTTTTTGTTTGATAAAAGTGAAAATCAACGCATTTAATATTTTAATTAGATAATCAGCACAAATATTATATTTTTTTTGTAAATTTGTTGAACTATTTTTAATTATTTTTTTATTATATTTTAGACATTAAATATTTTAAATTTCCTCAATCTTTATTGGTTAATATGATATGATATCTCTGGTTTTCTTACTTGGCATCTTCTTACTGTTTTTGCAGCTTTCGTGAGCAAGGCCAAACTTGTTTGCATCTCGTATGAGGGCACATAATACTAAAACTAAATGAGATGTCAGTTGTAGTTTCCAGAATTTGGTCTCTTAATGTAATGATTGAAGAGGATGCGAAAAGATTTGTTTTAATTTACAGGAGCAAGCCGTGGGTTTTGTTATTACTTTCAGCACACAGAGTTTTAAAAATGACATCTAGTTTCATGAATGTCTAAAAAAAATGTATATATGTTTACATCTATGAAATCAATGAACTAATTTTTACACCAGATCTCACGTTCATTTAATAGATGTATTTTATGTTTAAATAATAATAATAATTTAAATTATAATGTTATCGTATTATGATTTTTTATTTTTTATTTTAAAATTTATTTATTAAAAAAAAACTATTTTTTTAATTTTTAAAATGATGTTAACCCCTAGGTTAGTAGCTCCGATCAAAGATGTAAGGCTCTGATGTGTCAAATTTTTACTGGATTGGGGGTGTGAAAGACGTCTCGTCACCATCACACCAGAGTCCGAAGTCTGAACCAACAAATATCATTGCGTAGGACTTTGGCCTAAAATTAAAAAAATTATAAATAAAATCTATCATTACAAGACTTTACAAATATAAAAATATTTTTTAAGAGATGGGTACGTTGAAAATGGAAAAAAAGCCAAGGGTAGAATCTTGAAGAAATAAGAACGACAAACTTGTTTGCATCTCCTTGGTCCACCTTCAGCAATTGAAGATAATGCTACTAATACTAAGTCAGTTGAGCTTCTAGATTCCAAAATTTGATCAGAGTGCTGCCATTGATGGGCAGCTAGCCATATTGGACTGGCAGTCTCATTGCTAAAGCATAATTTATCTCGAAAGATCTCAGCTTTTCAACTCAGAATTTCTTCGATTTCCACCAAATTACTACTAATGACTTCTCTAAATTCCTTAAAAGCCCGTATAGCACTCTTATGATTAATTTATCCTAAACTCAACTCACAAAAATCAAATCATTTTTCTGTTTCCCTAGCTCTCATCATTCTACCTAAAAACAAATCTTCCTCTCACGAGAAGAATGAAATCAATCAAATTTTCTAAATTTTCGTTTGATTATAATACTTCGCATATACCTTTTTTATATAGTATTTTATTTAAAAATGTTAATTTATTATTTTTAATTAATATTTTATATATTTTTAAATAATTCTCATTTCAATCGTTTTTTAGTTGTCTCAAATCCTTAACTTTATATAAATTAAATTAATGATTTTATATGGTAAATAAATGATAATTAAAATTTTTTTGTTTTAAATAAAAATAACCGGTAAGAATTATATAGAAATAAAAATATTTTAATTACTATTTATTTATTATATAAAATTATTTTTTCAAACTTTATGCAAAAGTCAAACTAGGACATCTAATTCAACCAAATGGAGTAATTTTTTTATGAAAAGAAACTTACAATTACAACCTCCATTCCAAAATAATAAATGACTTTTTTAATTAAAATTTGTCCAAAATAATAATTATTTTTTCATATTTTACAAGAAATAAATTTTTTTATTTTAATCTTATGATTATCTCTCAACTCTAAATTATTCATCACATCATAAAAAATTCATTTTCTTAATTTCTTTTTTAAGAGTAAAATAAGTAAAAATAAAAGTTATTTTTAAATCATTAATTTAAAAATAAAATAAAATAATGCATATTATTTTAAAATAAAAAAAGTATAACACAGAGTAATATAATACAAAACTAACAAATGAAGCTTAAATATTTAGAAAATAATTAAGAAATAACTCTTTTTATAAATTTTTTTAAACAATCTTATGTATTAGTTACTAATAATTAATTTTTTTACTTTATCAGAATCTGTAATATATATTTATTTAATAATATATAAAAATTATAAAAAATATTATCACATAATTATTTTTTAAAAATTATTAAAAAATTGAGTTCACCATTGATGTTGTTGTGTAGCGGTCAAAAGTAACTGCTAGAATAACAGTGTTCAAATGAGGACGATATTGAAAAAATAAAAAATGAAAAATAGAGGGACCACGTTGATCTGTGTTTGGGAAGTAGAGAAACGACAAGTTGTTCGTTAGTACATTGCTGTCATGACTTTATTGATCAGCATTGTGTTATTGAATAACAGGAGGGCAACGTGCTGTATTCCACTTTCCAGAAAAGAAAAAGGGCAAAAACGTGCTGTATTCCACTAGCAGCAGTGTTTTAGCTTCGCAGACACGATTGTCAATTTATAAAATATTATTTTTTAAATATTAATTTAATTTAATTAATAAGAATTATTTATAATTATAATTATAATATTATAAATTTATAATTTTATATAATATTAAATAAAATATAACATGATATTAAAAGTAGATATTTATCATACTATATACAAATTTTTAAATAAAAAATTAATTATATAATGACATATCATATTATATAGTTTCAATATACATGACATTTGCAATAAAAGCTTTTTTGAATTATTAATTAATAATGGATAAAACAATTAAATTTATTAGTTAAAAAATTAAAATGAATCAATAAATTGATATTTTTAAATGAGAAAAGAGAAAATGAAGACGTACGTCTTAATATTTATGTATTATCTATATTAACTTAAAAAAATTACTCCTTTGTCTAAAAATAATTATTGTTTTTTATTTTTTCTCTAAAATAAGGATTTTGAGATAATTTATGTATTTATCTATATTATCTTTAAAAAACTAAAAGATAAAGTATGATTTTTTTTATGATAGGATAATTAATCAAAATAAATAAATAATGATAAAATTAAAATAAAAAATATTTACCTA